ATGTTGCTGCAGAGTGCCGTCATCGTGTGAATCAAGTTCAGGAAGGTGATGCTGTGTCAGTCTCGAATGCTTCCGTTTCAACAGCCCCAACTTCAGCAACAAGCCTTGCAAAATCCAAGCCCACGAAGGTTCAGCGAATCAACCTCACCGAGATCGAGAGCGAGGATGAAGTGGAGATCACCTACTTCAATGAGGTCCGTTGCGTCTCTGAAGTTGAGAGTGGTGATGCAGACAGTCCTGATCATGAACTTGAGTAGCAGCAGTTTGTGGTTCCGAATGTGCAGTGACGATTCGGTCAGCGAGCATGAGATTAGGGCTGTTGGAGACCCTTCTCTACATGAAGTCATCCTGGACAGCGGGGCCGATTGCACAGTTCTTCTGCTTGAGCTGTTCGAGCATGTTGGGAGCCCAGGTACACGTGCTGCGACTCTTTTGGATGCCCAGGGCAATCAGATCCCCCAAAGCCATAGTAGAGAAAGGGTTTTATTCGAGATTGAGGGTACGGATGGTGAGACGATCCAGTCTGTGGACAATGTTTTGCTAGCAGCAGTTCGTCAGCCTTTGGTGTGCTTTGGAAAAATGCTCAAGTTCCCAGTGGGTTCCGACACAACATGGTGATCAGTGGTTTCTGCAGCGTGGAGATTCCCAATTCCGTGTTCACTGGAGCAAAAATTCGTTGGCAGCCCTGATGAGAATTTCTAGGGTTGCTGAAGAGAAGCTTGTTTTCTCGCCCAGGTGAATGCGGTGCACATGGGAGATGGCAATGAGCCTTCGCAGGACGTTTTGAGCTTGCTGATGGTTGTCGAAATCAGTGACCACTTGGACATGCGCGCTCAAACCCCAGGTTGGAGTCTTTCAGCTGAGGGGTATCCAGCGCCAGCGCGCCTTGGAGTTTCTAGCAATGGCACCCTAGACCCCAGCGTGCAGTTCAATCACGAAGAGTGGCCTTTGCGTTGGACACTTCTTTGGCGTGGTGGTAATCGCTTTGAGGTGTTTGAAGCTGGTGAGCTATGGGGTCCAGAGTCTCCAGGTGATCTTCCAAAATATGTTGAGTGCGATGCAAAGGAAAAGAAGGTTCTCACTATCCTTGTGAAGGATTTCTTGGAGCCAGACACGTGGGGAAAGATTGTTGAGTGCGGCACCATTGACTTGAAAGCAAGCCTCAACAAACCTCCGACTACTGAAAACCCTCCTTCGCAAGGTGACGACGACATGGCAGTGGATGATGCTGGAAATGGTGCTCAGCCTGCGGCAGAAGACGAACGAGGTTTGGTTCCGATGATAGGTCCTTCTGCAGTTGAAGTTCAGGGTCAAGACCAGGAAGCTGTTCAAGTTGACGGTGTTGTTTTGACTGCGTCCTCTGTTCTCAAAGACCTTCGAACAGCTTGTTGATTTCTTGGTGTGTCCAAAAATGGCTCAAAGGCAACAGTTTGGGCTCGTCTCAAAAAGGAGGTGGCAATGCAAAAGATTAAGGCCAGTGTTCAAGCATCAGAAGAGATCCAGAAGCAGTATGAGCGAGCGCCCATCCAAGAAGCGTTGACCAAGCCTCCTGAGCCCCACCTTGTTGCGCTACATGAAATCATTCACACGCCGAGGCCCTCTTGGTGCAAGGCATGCGTTGCCATGAGGTCCAGAGAGGACAACTACACCGACACCAAGCCGAAACGTGAGAACCCTGTCGTTGCAGTTGACTACATGTTTACGAAGACTGATGGTGAGAATCAGCCTTTGGCAACTCATTTGGTTTGCAGCGACAGCCAGACAAAGTATGTGCATGTTGTCGCCTTGGATGGTAAAGGTGGTAGTTCTTTGCAGTATGCCACGAGGGAGACTGTGAAAATGATTTCCGTAATGGGCTATACCCGTGTGAGCTTGCGTCATGACACTGAACCGGCCCAACTTGTCTCAGCAGTGCAATCAAGTCGACTTTGCATGGGTTTTTCTACAGAACTTGAACCTGTTTGCTCCTGAACCCTCTGCTCATGGTGCGTTGCATGCTGAACGATATGTTGACACGGTCAGGCGAATGGGCAACTGCCTTTTGGAGACAATTAGGCAGAGGACTGGACACAAAGTGGAAAGCAAAGATCCCTTGTTTGTTTGGGCATATGTACATGCTGGCTTCCTTATTTCAAGGTTTGCAGTTCACCAAGATGGTTGCACCAGTCATGAGCTTGTTCATGGAAGACCCTTTTCCCAAAAGCTTTGTCCTTTTGGGAGTGCAGTGTACGCTCAAGTTTTGCCAAAGAATAAGAACAAGGGCGAGCCGTGGAGACAGTTTGTTTGGCTTGGACGCACCGATCTGGGGCAGCTGCGTGTGCTAGGAAGTGCCACCGGAATCCAGTTTGCGCGCACCGTCCGAAGGTCACCCAAAGAATATGACCTCGAGCTCTTGGAGATTATGAAAGGAATTCCTTGGGACTTTGCTTTGGAGGTCGTTGCAACTAAGAAGGGCAAGGCGAACGGAGAGAGAGTTCCTATTGTTCTTGATGGACCTCCTGCGTCCCATGCTCAACCTATAGATGAAGCAGCCTCAGATCTTCCATCTCATGGTGCAGGGGTGCAACTTGCTTCTCCTTCAGGTTCAGCACCTTCTTCAATGTCAGTGAGCTTGCCAGGTGAGAGTGGGTCAGCGTCTCCCATGTCAGAAAAATTGATTCCAGCTGGATCTGTGAACGCTTCCCGTGTTGAAAGCAAAATGCCAACAGGACATGAACCGGATCTACTTGACCTCTTTGACAATGACTCTTTCTTCGAAGAGGAAGGCGTCGACTGGGAGTTGGATAACATCCTCAGTGAAGCAGATAGAAGGGCGTATGAAGATGGTCCCCCCAATTTGAATCCGGAGTTGCTAGCTAAGCTGGACTTGGAGATGGATAAGGTTGAAGAAGAGCGCCTTTTGAAGATGGGTGTCCTCAAGCTTCTACAAGATGCAGCCCGTAAGGCCGACATGTACCAGCTCAGCTTCAAGTTTGTTCACGACTGGAGGTTCAGAGACAAGTGGGTTCGTCGTTCAAGGATGGTTGCGCGTGAGTGTCAGTTCTTGCAGCCAGACATGGAGGACCTCTACTCCCCAGCTTTGTTAGCGTCACTTTAAAAGTTGTTTGCGGCACTTGCGTGTAGCAATCGGAAGCTGGTTGTTCTGTCGGGAGACGTGAAGGATGCCTATCTTTGTGTTGAGCAGACAAGACCGACTTTCATAGAGTACAATGGGAGGTGCTATGAACTTCTTTTCAGTTTGCCAGGGCAACGCAGTGGAGCTAGAGATCGGTTTTCGAAGCTCAAGGGTGTGCTGGAGACTAACGACCTCAAATCCTTTGTGGGTGCTCCTTCCTTGTTTCTGCAGCCCAAGACAGCTGGACTCCTAACGCGTGTCGATGATTTGGAAGCCGTGTGTGAGTTTGAGCGCGGTGAAGTTCTCAAGAAGCATTTGGCAGACGCAGGGCTGACTGTGTCTTGGGGAGGTCCTTTGACTTTGGATCTTGGGAAGCGCAAGTTCCTGAAAAGAACTATGCAAGCAGTTGAAGGGGGCATCTTCACTGAGCAAGGCAAGAAGCACATCCAGAAGTTGGTTGAGTTGACAGGCGTGTTCAAAGCAATGGGCAAGCCAACTCCTTGCCCAGCGAATCCGCGCAAGTGCACAGATGAAACTTTGCTTGAGGGTGAGGTGTATGCTAGGTATCGGACAGCCGTTGGAGTGCTCCTGTATCTTGGACCTGACAGACCGGACATCCTCTACGCCGTCAGTGGAGTAGGCATCAATAAAAAAATAAACGAACATCAAAAAAACAAATGAACATCAAAAAAAAACGAACATCAAGAAAAAATAAACGCTACACTAGTCCTATTCCTATTACAAACCCTAAACCCTAAACCCTAAACCTAAACCCTAAACCCTAAACGGAATGCTTCCTTCTCCAGCGCGCATCTAGGATTCTGGTCTGCAGGTCATTTTTTTTGATGCGAGCTTTATTTTGTTTTTGATCTCCGTTTATTTTTTTGATGCTGCATCCCTGTCCGATACCTAGCATACACCTCACCCTCAAGCAAAGTTTCATCTGTGCACTTGCGCGGATTCGCTGGGCAAGGAGTTGGCTTGCCCATTGCTTTGAACACGCCTGTCAACTCAACCAACTTCTGGATGTGCTTCTTGCCTTGCTCAATGAAGATGCCGTCAAAGTCCTCTCCAGCAGGGCAACAAATCCCAGAAAGCATGAATGGAAACTCCTTTGCCACTTGGTCCGTTACCTCAAGGAGCATGACTCGTACGGTTTGCTGTTCACTCCATCTTGGCCGGGAAGGACTTTAGAGCAACGTTGCTTGGAGATTGAGAGAGAAGCAGTGCATGTTCCAGGCAATCCTTTTGGCGGTGATCATCTTCTTGAAAGTGTTTCTGATGCTTCGTGGTGCTCAGAGCCTGGGAGACTGAGTGTCTCATGTTCCGTGATCTACCTCAACGGAAACCCCATCTTCATCACCAATAAGCGGCAGAAGAGCATGGTTCTTTCCAGTTGTGAATCGGAGTTGCACGGCACCTTGTTAAGTTTACAAGAGGCCATCCCGGTTGCGCTTGCAAGCTTGCGCGCAGGGTAGACAGTAGCTCATGCCGGGCACTTCTCAATCGAGAAGGACTTGGAGGTCTCAAGCAAGTCGATCTAGCGTATCTTTGGTGCCAAGAGAAAAGAAGGGCCGGCATCTGCGCAGTGAATGCCATTGGTACTCTGTTTTGTCCGGCGGACATAGGTACAAAACCTCAGGCAGCTCCACGTTGCAAGCTCTTGTGCCACATGATCGGGATTGCAGCTAGCAGTGACCATGGTGTTGTTCCGGTTGGGCATGACGAGTTTTGGAAAGCATGGAAAGATGATTCTTCAAAGAAGGCTTATGCAAGGGCCTCAAAGGTGAGCGTGGAGAAGCTGAAGCATTTCCGCAGACTCTTGGCTTTCAGCATCTTGGAGCTCAGTGAGGCATCCCCTACTTCGACTTCTTTGCCTACTGTGATGGCCGAAACCAGCGTCCTCAACATCCTCATGTACTTCAGTGTGGCGATCTTGGTCATGTTGATCGTGGTCTACCTCTACTTCTTCTTCGTCTACTTCGCCTACAAGGAGATCAAAGTGAAGGGGGCAATGAGTGCATTCGTGGACAAGTGGAAGATGATCTACATCATTGTCATCTGCAACCTCATGCAGACCGTCTATGGCATGGACAGCGATGGTGGATCTACGGCTTCGTCTTCTACGTCCTCCTGGTCATCGACTACTACATTGGCTGCGATGGTTGGCGCTTGGACTTCTTCAATGGCAAGTTCATCCATGATCATCCTGGCGATGGTGCTCTCAGTGGTGGCTTTCACTGTAAGGAGGTGGGCATCAAGTTCGGCTTCAGCAGACCTTGAGAATCAGAATGGTGCAAGTGATGAGCCTTTGTAATGAGCCTTTGGTTGGACCGAAGGCACCTGCAATCAATCCTAAGAAGGAAAATTCCAATACCACTTCGACAAGGATGAGTTCGTCATCTATGTCATCGAGTTCTGCCGCTGCACCAACCTCTGCGGCTGCTGAGACAAAGACGCAAGGCTACGTGAGCGAGATGGCTGGAGTCTCTCCAACTTTGCACCTTCATGGCACGCATGTGGAGACACACAATGTGGGAGTTCAAGTTTCTCAGCCACCCTCTGTGGCCCAGTTGCCGCTCAGTTGCCGCTTCAGCCTCGTGTTTTCACTGTGGGCCCTTGGAAGAGTGGAACAGTATTCCACAGGCGAACCTGTGGGATGGTGCGTCGTAGGCTCCTGGACAACCCGAGTGACATCCTTGAGCTTCCTGAAGCAACTGCTAGGAACCGTGGGTTACGACCTTGTAGGCAGTGCAATCCAGATCTCTAAGAACATTGGAGAGGGCAGAAATCTTTTGAGTGTGTGCAGGCTTAGCTGATGTAAGACCGTTGGAATAGCATTCAGCTTTTTCTCCAGTTTGTTTGTCTGAAGTTTCACGGGAGTTCACATCCTAAAAAGAAAGAGCCCAAAATGTGTTCTCCCCGCAAGCTGTTGGTTGACAGTGTAACGTTGTCCCGGAGTCTAGAACAAAATGTGTATGGCCATAGGGCCTCCCGGGATGTAGCTTCAACATAGCCAGTAGTGCTACGTTGTGTGCTGAAAAGTTGAGCGGTTCACAGTGGAAGAAATCCACTGATCACCGAAGGGGGTGACAACTTTTTCGATCCCCCAGAAACATGATTTTCTAGAGACTTTTGAACCATGTTGATGCATGGTGTGGAGGCTCAACTTGTGAAGGAAGAAAAGTGTGTTTTGAGTTTTAAAAATGCCATGGTGTTTTCGGTCCGCCCTGACACCGTCTGAAAGGGAAACATGCTTACGTTACACCATGCTCGGCGCCCCCTAAGCTGTAGAAGCATTGGAAAGTACCATAGCCTGGCCATTCATGTTGACCTGAACCTCAGACCTCGCTGAGCTTTGAGATCGAAGAGCTGAAAAGGAACAAGCGCAAGCTTTGGGTTTGCGTGGTGTGCAAGTTCACTACATAATTAGCCAGTCAACCTTTTACACGTGCAGGCTCAACACCTTCAGCCTGTGTTTGATTTTTTGCGCAAACGTTACTGTTGAAGTTGCAGAGCCAAAGAATTCGGGATGCGAAGTGTAATGGCGTCGCCGTAGCTACATAAGCGCCTTTACATTCGGTTTTGCAGGGTTATTGGAGATCTGATGAAGTCAGGGCCCAGTTTCAACCGCTAGATTAAATGGAAGCTCGTAGTTGTGAGCACGCGTGTTGTTGATGCCTGATTGGGTGAACATCGTCCAAAAATTGTTTCCAACAGTTGCTTGGCTTCTGTAGGCAATTGATATGATTTGGTCGTTTGCAGCGGGGGCTTGTTTTTTCAGATGGTTGCGTTGAAGTATGCTGGCTTTTGCTTCAGCATGGTGCATGGTGTTTTTGAAATCTAATGCAGCAGGGTTTGTCTGAGGAACGTTGCGGCTTCGTGTGTTGCACACTGCCGCGGCCTCCTGATGTTTGTTGGCTCGGTGGCACAGGGGTGAAACGTTTGTCTGGTGCAATGTTGAGCAGACAATGAGCAATGATAGTTCAACAAAACAGTGTGACAAACACATCTTGTGTTTTTCTGCAAACGGCCATTTCCTAAGCTCGCCAGCTGTATTCGCATGTGGGGAGGCAGCGGGGACTGATGCTGGAAGCATCGACGAAGTGGCCCAAACATTGTGAGAAACAGGCTGGTGGAATTTCCGTATTCATGCCGGGCAAAGGTAGTGCCAACTAAATGTGGTTGATGGTAACCTCATATCTGCTTGCCCCCAGATCTACACCCTCAACCCTATGGCTCTACATCCTTGCAATCCGAAACCCCAAATCCCCTGTCGGGCCTGGAGTCCATGACCCAGCTTTTTGTAGTGTTCGTAGAAGGGTATACATGGGGATAGGGACTACTATAGGGCCATTTTTCGATTTGTGCCATGCTTCGTCTGCCAAGGCCGAATGTCGTCACATATGGTGTGGCAATTTCTGCTTGTACAAGGTCTGGAATGTTTGCAATCAGAACGCTTCTGTTTGATCCTGCCGGGCGACAGGGTGTCCAAATGGCCAAGAGCATTGGAGGTTGGGGACTTCATCCTGAATAATGGAATTGAGCATGGTATCGCCCATCAAGTGTTGCCCAGCTGTGTGTCATGGCTCTTCTAAATGAGGCCCAGCCTCATCAGCGGCCGTAGCTGCACGTTGGCATCTCGGAATTTTGCTGCATACACGGGCTTAAATTCAGAACAGTGGGCTGCAGCCAGCCGGTGGACTGATTTGTGGCTGTTAGGTGAAAAGGGAAACTGCTGGGCAGATGCTGTGCAATGCTTGTGCGACGGAACCTAAGAGCTGATTGACTCCAAGCAGCCAACACGCATGGATGTAAATGAGGCTTTGAAGCGACGTGCGTTGATTGCGATCAGGTGACCTTCTGCAAGACCTTGCGAAGGAATGGCTTGTCGAAGGTGTTTTGGAACCAAATGCCTACAGTTTTGGAGCTGAGGTTGCGCTGCCTAGTTTGTGTGGATTGATGTCCGGAGACATATTGAATGAGCAGTGCACTACTTGGATTGGGTCTGCAGGCAACGGCTTGTGAAAAGGCTGCTGGCAATTGGCTGCTGCCCTGGGTTTGGTGGCTGATCTGCGGAGGTAGGTAGTGGGCTGAATTGCTCAGCGGCATTACTATTACTAAAGAAGGGCTTACATTACTATTATTACTCTAATGATTATTCTTACTATTATTACTATCACTATCAATTACTACTCTTACTATTACTATTGTTATTACTAATATTCCTATTGTTCCTGTTGTTACTATTATTGCTACAATGCTGCGGGCAAAGCATCCTCCAAGCCTGAGTTTTTTTTAATGCCGTCAGCTCCGCATTCGAGAAGGCCACCCCGACCCTACACGATTCAGCTCTTATTGACGAGTGTGAGTCATGCCATATTGGATTATTTTCAAGTGTAAGTGTTCTTCACGCAGGCATGCGCTGGAGCCGCTGGCGGTGACCGAGGGTGCGCTCTTGAAAAGTTGCTTGCAGAAGCTGGTCCACATCGATATTTGTTTTGACCGTGACAGTGGCCCAGGGCAGCTGGGCGTCCGGCTTGTGCAGCATCTCCAGCGCTTGCACATCGTGTTTCTCGGCCAAAGACCTGAATGCACAAACTGCTGTGATCCCAAGTCCGTCTTTTGAAGGAACGACACCATCACGCACAACGCTGCGATTAGTGCCTGTGTGAAGGCGAGTGCTTGGGAGCAGGCTCGCGCGGACTTCTACTGTGCGTGAAGGCGTGTTGCCTCTGTGGCTCTGCTGAGCCAAGCTGCAGGCACTCCTGGTATTTGCAGCCTCGAGGATGCCGCGCTTGTGCTGACACCGTCCAGTCATTTGTTTACGATTGTTTGGCTGCTGCGCATTTGCCGATAGCAGGAGTCATGGGTCACCTGCCGCCACAAGCTTCAACGCAGCCATCAGTGCTTGCTCCTGTTCGCCTTTTGACCTGGTTGCGTACTCAGTCTTTGCGTTTCCGGTCAGTTCACATTTTGCCAGAAGTCTTCTGGCAGTTCTGTGTCCTTCAGATCTAGCTAGTTTTCCGTCACAGCAAATGTGCAAGCATTGTGTTCTCCACATGCCAATCGCTGAGGCGGAAGAGACAGTGATGAAAGGCCGAGCCTGCAAAGACGGGCCGCCGCTGGCATTTCATCGCCACGTGAAAAATCTGGTGACGTGGACTCGCAGACCGGAACCCCAGAACATCCATCACTTCACCTGACCCCTCATCGTGAGCGAAGGAATGGAAACGAAATTGCAAGCTACAATATGGGGTATTTATAGGGACTGCTATACGGATTTATTCCTTCATTGTTGGGAAAGTCACAGGGCTTGGAACATCACCAGGGCTTGGCGCCCACCTTCTGCTCACAGGGTGCGTGAAGCCTCAGCGAAGCTATGAGACAACTGATTTAGAAGGGATTCGTCGTTGGACAGTAAGCGCAGCCATATTTGGGTGGTTATCAAATCTAACCCCTGTCTTCCCCGAAGTGTTGGAATCCCTAGGGCCCCAGCCCTTAACCCCTCGTGTTCGGAAAGCTTCTGTGTGTTGTGTGGAAACCGCCATGAAACCTTCACAGATCTTGTAGGGTTTGGTTGGGAATGCAGTCCACTTCGTACCACATCGGAGATGATGTGGGGATGCGAGGATGATGAGATGATGCTGACTGCGACGGTGATACTTTGCTTCTCAAACCTTGGCCCTAAACCCCAAATCCCAAACCCTAAACCATGTTGCAAACGCTTTCGGGACACCTGTTCTCCAATTCTGATCTTCTGGCGTGAAGCCTGAGTTGCCCCAGGGTTTGGAGTGTCCGGGCCTGTGGCCAAGGATAGGCTCTTTGCAGATCTTTAATGACTCTCATGTCGTTAGGGTTTTGGGATGGGTTTGACCCACATGTTATGATGCCTTGCTGCAATGCTCTATGACTACGGTCAGGACTCAGGACGATTCTGAGGACCCTGTATGCATTAGGTCCTGAACAAGAAGTATCATCTGACTACCGCAATACGTTGAACCGTGAATTTACCTGGACCATGAGGCTTCCATATGCTGGTAACCGTGGCTTAGGGTTTAGAGTTTGGGGTATGGGCCCAAACGCGATCTAAGTTCAAGTTCAAGGACAAAGCATGAGTTCGTTCATGAGCTGGGCTTGGCTGCCGTTTGCAAACAGTCAAGATCTGCACTTCAAAAAGGTGTTTGCATGTGACACAGGTGTCTGTGGATTCTCTGCAGAGAAATTATTTTCCAACATTTTAACGGTAGGTTGCACCTGCATCACACCCACATTGTCCCATGTCTTCATTGAGCAGCAAGCAGAGAGTTGAATCTGTCATCCAAGACACAACCTTGTTGAAAGTAACCAGCGATGCTTCCAACACTTGAGTAGCCTGGCAAGATGAGTAAATTGCGATTAGCCATGTTTATGCTTGTGGCTCTGGCTCTCGCTGGTGTCTGGACACTGAATGCACGAGCCAGCACTGGTCACCAAGCAGAGGCACCGGCACATTCGGTACCAGTCTCAGATACTGGCAGGCAAGTCAGCATGGGTGGCGAGAGAGATGGTTTGCGCGTTCTTCCCTCAGACTTCAGTGGCTGCACGAAGATCTTCCTGGATGTCGGTGCGAATCGGGCAACTCACATCCGAAAGCTGTTTGAGCCGGAGAAGTATAGTGAGTCGAAATATCTTTCGATATTTGACGAAGCTTTTGGATCAGCTTCGTTTCGGTCGATGCCGTCACGGGTGACAGGACTGTGCGCATTTGGGTTTGAACCGAATCCAAGGCCAGCCAGCTTTTTTTCATGTTTCCTGTTCGGTTCCGCCAATGCCCCAAGGTTGTGCTTGTCATCGCTTGTCATGTGCTATGTACGCAGACAATCAGTCTGTGGTTTCTCTCCTATCTTTCACCATCATCGGTCAGACACTGGCGGGTGCAGGTTGCCTTACGTACTCTTCATTGTGCACCATGATCATGACTGACCGCAACTTCCCAGCTTGTCATCCTGTTGGACCTTCCACTTGCGGTGATAAGGTTGGCAATATCTGTATGTCTCGTGCTGCTTGTGTTGAGAAACAGGCGTTGAGCATGCATGCGGCAGGTGGGGGCAGCGCCTTCATGAGATCGAGCATGCCTACAATGCGAAGGGATGGCGTGTGAAGCTTGGCGAGACTTGGCAAGTGTTTGTGTTGGAGTTGCTGGAGTTGTTGGGGTTTGTGTAATATGGGGAGGAAGTGAGCACTACCCAAGGAAGCTGTTCAATGTTGCCGTGGGAGCAAAGCCTGGCAGCATAGTGACCTGTCCGGATTTGCAAGCAAGTTGAGAGTCGTTCAGCACGTTTGCCTTCTTGAGCTCTGGCATTCTCTTTTCCTTTCCTTTCCGTTAACGCAGAGGGTCCAAATCGGACGCGGCGCCTTGCACCTAATTAACATAAGAAATCCGACACCTAGAGGAAATCTCACGCTTTCGGCTGATTCTGTAATATAAGTATGTAGACAGGCATGCCCAGACATCCATTTTTGATGAAATAATTCTGCCAGCGCAGATAATATGATGGCATTCGTTGCCGCAGGTCTTCTACAAGAACGACCCAAAGGGCCTCAACAGCGATTGGGGTTTCAGTGCTTTCGCACTGGCAAACTTCGTGCCCGGGGAGAACAAAACGCTGACAGTCCCTGTTGTTGACCTTCCCCGATTTCTACAAGACTTGGACAGCCATGCGCCTCCTGGCCAAAGGCTGATGAAGCTAGACATCGAAGGGACTGAGTACCAGCTTCTTCCAGCAATGATTGGCAAACAGCTGTTGTGCGCGAGAGTCCTAAACACTGTTACCATGGAGTGGCATAACAGGAAGAACAAACGTGGAGAGTACAGGATGAATGTTACGGATGATGAGCGTGGCATGTTTGAAGAGGTAGAAGAGACAGTGATGAAAGGCCGAGGCTGCAAAGATGGGCCGCCGACTAGCATCAAACTTTTCGATGTCGAAGACTATCTCTCAGACGGCCAGCCTCTTCCGGCAGATGCTGATTGCAGACGTCCTGAGTCAGAGCCCTCGCATCTGCCAGATGATCTGCGGCGCTGCAAGTTTCCAAACAAGAAGGATCAATTTGGCACTGCGCCCTGGACACGGCAGCTGGTCAACAATCCTTATGAACCAGGTTGTTGGGACAGAACAAGCTACTGTGCACCTTTCGATTGTTTCCCGGAGTGCAGAGACAACCCTGAGTATCAGAACATGATCAAGTATTGGGCACCACTCAGGCCTGGTAGGCGAAAAGTTATGGTGTTCCAGTACGGGAAAGTGGCGTCCACAGCAATTGTCAGGGGCTTGAAGCTTTACGCAGGTATTACAGCTGCTCATGTGCACACTGCAGAGCATGCAAAGCAATGGCTGGCAGGGATGCATGTTGATCTTCCAGTTGAACAGCAGGGCTTTGCACTGTCCGATGAGTGGTCGTTGAAATCAGGACCTTGCTCACTGCATGGGTGCTTTTCCGGGGCCGGATCAAGAACGGTTGTTATGGTTTTGCGCGATTGCCTCCTCTGGTAACCAATATTTGTGAACTATATTTGGGGGACGGGTAGGGTTCTGTATGCTCATACGTGTGATTTTGCAAGGTTAATGTTGAAAAATATTCAAACCTTGCATGTGAAAACACGTTTTGTTGGCATACACATATCTTCTGCATCCATGCGCGCATGCCACTTGACCTCCTGTCGTTGATTGGATCTTGATTGCAGTTGTGCGGCTTTTGGTGCACTGTGTATTGTACTGCGCACACTAGTGGATTGACGACGAAGTTGACGATGTCCGGCCTGCTTGAGTTGAAAATTGCGTTTTCCAGTGAGTACCTTTTTTGATAACTGTGTTGTGCGTAGAGTGCATTGTGTATTGCATGAATGTCTGAGGAGCCAGTTGGGCAATTGCTTTGTGTGGCAAAGGTTGAACCCTTGAGCTTGATCCCCTTGCTAGCCTTGCCTTATGTAGACCCCTGATAAATAAACTCGTCCCCCTAATAGGGAATATTAGGGCCCTTAAAAGGAGGGAGTTGATTAATCATGGGTCCCCATTAACCCCAATCCGTGACCAATTGAGGGCATGAAACTTCTAAACGCTCGGATGCAATGCGTACTGGAACATTGAATTGATGTCCTTGCCATTCGTCGTTTCACAGCTCGCAGAGATCACGATGCCCAATTCCTAAGGACCAAATCCTCAACCTCCACACGCCAAGCTGCTAAACTCAGAGGGGAGTGCAAGCCAAGTGCCCTGCGCAGTTTTCATGGCCGTATCCCAAAAAGCCCCAGCCCCAAAAATCTGAACCTGAAACCCGGGATCTGGTCCAAACCTAACACTCGAGCTCCAGAAACTTGCAATCACAGGACAATGAGCCACACATTCCTGAGTGTTCTTTCAAGAAGAAGGTCATCCAAATGGAATTGAACACTTTTGTCTCCGTTGCTATTACTATTGGCTATGATGTTTGTTATCATTAGTCTTACTATTATTACAGGTGGGTCTGACTTTGTGAAAGTCAGCAGCCATCCTTTCATAAAGCTCAGTTTTTTCGCACGAAGCACACACAATTGAGCTACTCTCTTGGTAGAGCATGGCCATCTAGGGCCGAGGGTCGGGGTGTTCTTGCTGGTTTGGTAAAGGGCGGAACATGAGTTTGGCCACATCAGATGCAACTCAACAAAGGAGTATACCACTCCAACGACCAAGAGCAGATCGTGGATTCCTGCGTACCTGGCACTCAAAGCTGACCAACATTCGCATGATGATCTGGCTAAGAAATTTCGTTTAATTCATGTTGCCCATAGTGCCCCCAGATGCAGGACAAGTTGAAAGATCCTCGGATAGTAGTTTCCATTTTATTTTCCATTATCCCAATATAACCCCGATATTACCCCAAGAGGGGGGATTTCAGTCAGCGCTGCGTCACCAGGCCCAGCAGGGGCACTGAGACTCAGTCTTACGGTAGTTGAATTTGAATTTGCATGTGCTTATCGATTGGCCACTTGCACATGTGTTCCTCATTGCGTTGCGCATGGCTTTTGTTGTTTGTTGAGCGTTTGTTCATGCTGTTTGCGTTTCAGCCTACTGAATTTTCAAAAGTTGGCTCATGTAAGCCAGCTAGGGAGTTTTGCGTTCAAACAGCAAACTTGCTTGTGAATCAAGACCCATGTCTGATGTGTCCCAAGTTCGAACCGAGTTTTCAACAATATTGGTTTCCGATGGTTTTGCGCGCAAACGTGCGCACGACACATTTCAAACTATTGTCCAATACCACGCAGACCAGATGTTAAATATGGACAGGAACTTCCCATACTGCCGTGACGTGAAGACAAGCACGTGTGCGGCGCACTACTTAAAGCTTCTTCGCAACATATGTCCGTGCAGAAGGAGTAGCGGGCAACTTCCGCTTAGCTTCTACACACGATGCCTGGTCAGCATAAGCGAGGGAGCTTGCGTCGCCGCCAATTCCTGCGTAACGTATCTCTGCTTAGAATTAGTTTCTGCAGATGTGGGATCCAAGCGTCATGAACGCCAAGTGAGCATCCATGCCCAAACCACAATTCCGCGCATGTTCCAAGAGCATGCGGTCATTAGAGCATCCATGCCCAAACCATAATTCCGTTCGTGTTCCAAGAGCATGCGGTCACCAGAGCATCCGTGCCCAAACCAGAATTCCGTTCGTGTTCCAAGAGCATGCGGTCACTAGGGCATCCATGCCCAAACCATAATTCCGTTCGTGTTCCAAGAGCATGCGGTCACCAGAGCATCCGTGCCCGAACCATAATTGCGTTCATGTTCCAAGAGCATGCGGTCACTAGAGCATCCATGCCCAAACCATAATTCCGTTCGTGTTCCAAGAGCATACGGTTTCCAGAGCATCCATGCCCAAACCAGAATTCCGTTCGTGTTCCAAGAGCATGCGGTCACTTGAACATCCATGCCCAAACCATACTTCCGTTCCCGGTAAGGTTTTTGAGGTTCGGATTTTTTTAGGAAATCTTCGTCACGATATTCCCGCTCCAAAGCCCTGCAAGAAGCCGAAATATTATGCCTGCCATGCAAAATCAGCTTCTCTCCACGTATCATCCTCAAATTGACTGGCAGGCGCAGTATTTTCTGGCCCTCTACTGAGACCAGTCTCTGAACTCCTTTCTGCATGACTCAGGATCATTGTGCGGAAATGAGGGTTTCCCTATGGTAAAAACCACGATTTTGCCCATTGACACGCAACAGTCACCGTGTGCATCGGGTCTTGGAGTCCGGCCAACATGTTAAAGTGGCCGGAGAAAAATCCAGATTTTTTCCTCGAACAATTACCTCATCACAGGACCCCTGAACTATGTTCGAAAACGCCAAAATACTGCGACTGCCAACGAATTTGACCCTCGGCCGAGTCTGGGCGCTTGGCGAAGGCCGCGCGAGTTTAGTCTACAACTTCCCTGTGGCGGATCATGGAAAAGAAAATGGAAACGACCATCTAGTACGTTGGGATAAAATAGGGATAATGGAAAGGAACATGCAAACTACCATATAGATTCGCTTGTTTTATTCGCTTGTTTTATGAGCTGGAGTTTGTTGCGTTGATTGTGCTTCAGCGTCTGGGACATTGGTTTTAACGATTCGACAGCTGAGGTGGCTTGTTTGCTCAGAATTTGAAACCCTCAGAACTTGTGGCTTAAACATGTTTTGTGGTTTCTGCCTCTAGGTGTATGGGTTCGAAGCATTTCGGTTAAGTTGTTCAAAACTCTTGGTAAACATGCGATCTTAACAGTTATTAGCACGAGGATGCGTCTCTTGTCGGTTCTTGTTGTTGTCTCCATCATGACGAAACCGCAGACTGCAAGATCTCCAGGTGACAGCTCTCAACACAAGCATCATAGTGATTAGATATCATCATCAATGCCCGGCTTCCGGGCACGACAAATAGAAAACTCCGTGCAACGCTAAAAGCATGAGCCCAACGATGGCAATGACAACAAGAATACAAGCCAGACGACATGCTCTCACTGCAAATGCTCGAGGCCCTGATATGTGTTTGGAAGGCGCGCAAAACTGGAAAAAAATCATGCGCGAAGGAATTGTGTGGTAAAGGGAATGAAAAGTGTTCTCCAAATGAAGTCATGCCTTGACTACCCTAGTCCAATCTTTGCAGCGTGGTGTATGCTACTGTGACGCTCCTGGATACAGCAGTCGTCATCCTCAGTGGCGGCGACAGTGGCAACTGTAGTGAATAAGGACAGTACTGTAACAGCCAGTAGCTTGGTTTAGACTAACATGCTGGAGTAGCAACTGTTGTAATTGTTGTCATGTTCGTCGTCATTGTTGAGGTTGTCGTCACTGTCGCTGTCATTGTCGTCCAATATGGCTACTGTAGCTGTTGCAATTGCTGCATTTGTTGACTGTATTATGCACTTGTAGTATTTCATTTCGTCGTCGCTGTTGTTATAGCATGTGACAGTTGTTGCTGCGACCGTGGTTGCGGTGCTAGTCTGTCTCTGTTACTGTGGCTCTGGTTGAGGGGTGACCCTGGTCGTGGTTGCAGTGACGCTGGTAATCAACGTCGTGACTTCTTGATGATTTTGTTACTGGCGCCAGATACACGGCAAAGTGAGGTACCCAATTTTCTTTATGCAGATGCCATGCGAATGCAGCTCTGCGACGAAACACATGCTGCCACCACATACTGTTCGAAACCAAGGAGCGCTACATGCGAAAGCTAATGCACCCGCTTAACAAGCATGTAATCAGAAGTCAAAGCCCTGCAGCGCCAAATCAAGCAGCCTTTAATGCACAACCATCGAGAGATTGAAACCTTGAATGCACAACAACTAAACGACGGCACAAAACAAGTACGTAAACCAAATTGATCTGCCTCTTAACATTCCGGATTTTAAAACCCTTGTCGAAACAGGGCTGGCGATAATCAGAAGTGGCTAAAAGCAGTGGTCTGTAAAGCATCTGCATTACCTCGTGACGTCTGCTTCAAAGCTTGGCTGTAGCATGCTTTCCGCTTTCTGCCCATATTTGGGGATTGCAAATTGAAGCAGTGCTTGCCTCGGCTGGTCTGGTAGAACCCATAGGTTGAACATGTTTGCAGGGCCCTTTGACACGCATCCCTGCAGGAGATGAGTGCACCATCATCACTGCAACCCGGAGCCATTTCAGCCGAGATGCATCCGAATACTTCGAGAATATCTTGCAGGTGAACCACCCATATGGCTATCACCCTCGTGGTGTGAAGCGTTTCAAAGACCGCGCTCCACGCACTGGGGAGAGTCGTTGGACGCAAGAAACTGTTCTGCGCTTGGGCAATGAGAGCATTTCAGCATTGGTGGAAGATTTTCGGGCCCAGCACTCAATCGTTCTTGCATTCTACGCCAACTGGTTCACAGCACAGTTCAAAGCAGCCACTCGCATTGATGTACTGTCACAGCCGTTTGACTTGCAGCAGCACCATTCCTGGATTCGTGGTTCGCGGTGCTCAGCACTGGTATTACGGTGGCATGCCTGCAGTTGTATGAGATGAAAAGTTGTGCAACATAAGCAAACGACAGCTAGAGTTTAGACATGATGCCTGCCTGCGACTAAGGTCGGAGGACTCAAAATTCTGGCCGGACATCATTGCAAAGTACTTTGATGGTTTCAAGATGCCAAGATCGAACTCAGCAAGCCGCAAGTGGTACAGCGATGTATACAGTGCCTTCAAGACGCATCTGCAGTACACCCCAGGTGAAATGAGGGAGATGTGTGCAACAGAGACGGAGCGGCACTTCTACAAAGAAGACGAGTCCTCTCCTTGCAGGTAGCAAGATCTTGAGATTGGCAGCTTCTGATAAAACACTGAGCGCGGCTATGTCTGGAATAATTCTGTTTAGCACTACCGGTCTTCAACTAAATACACTTCACACCGGGGTTTGCATAACCTACCTCTTCCCCCTCCTATGTCAGAGCTTTGCGCAGGGCTCCAATGCAGCCGCCTTTCTCACACTGCCCCTCCCTCATCTCAGAGTTCTATGAGTGGCTCGTAGACAGCAAGGGCTCCGAACCCTAAACCCCAAACCCTAAACCCTGAGCGGGAAACCCGCCCGCAGCAAAATTTGGCAAGCTGCAGTGATCTGATGAAATTTCCGGGATGCCGGCACTGACAAATGATCTATTGTCGAAACTCTTTAAAGGGTTATATAGGGGACTATATATAGGGGGGTTGCTAAGGGGGATACTTGGAGTTTAGACTATGGCTCAAATGCTGATGGCTCTGTAATGCGCTGTCTTTGCCTGAAACGGCCCAGTTTTTTGTTGATAGTCTGTTCTGCAGAGCCCGCAAACACAGTAACCAACAAGTACATGATTGCAGTCTGACAGACAAGCGACAAGCTGTAAACAAGTTGGGCTCATCACGCAACATCCGTGGCACACGCCAGGCACGAATGAGGCGCAAAGCGATCCTCAGCTGAGCTATAGTCTAAACTC